TCACATTCCTGCCCTTTCAAAACGTATCTGGATGCTGTGAGCAAGAAGGAAGGAGTCTTGCCAAAGGCATTTGATTCCTTAATTCCTCCAAGAGTGTGTACTAACTTTTGGACAAGGGAGCAGCCTTTTGGAAAGAGGATATGGTATCAATGTTGTTTTAATTTAAAGCTTCTAGTACTTGAATTGCTGGAATGTGCCTCAATCTAAAGGCTATTTCCTAACAGGGAAGCAGTCAGCATTGACCAGGCTTTCCAGCAAATGGAGCTGCCTGATAGGCTCTTGGCATTCACATGTGATTCCTATCGTCAGAAAGAGGTGAAGCAATGAGGGATATATAGATTTGGGGGTCACCTTCTAATATGGTCCCAATTTACTTATCCCCTCTCACCACCCCCCACCCTGCCCCCTGCAGGATAACTTCTGCTTGACTCATTCGTGGCAAAGCAGCACTTGGAGAGGCTGCATCAGAGGAAGGGGCCAGGGCCAATGAAAAAAATAAAAACTAAAGGTTGTCTAACAAACTCCAGATGTTCTGTGGTGGGTGCCAACCAGTGTGTTTAGACCTTAAGTCATGAAGAAGAGCCCCCGCTGTGATTGTCAGGCCCCTGCACGAGATTTAATGTAAACTCAGATAGAACCCTGGAAAGCATTAATACAATCTGTTTAGTCACAGCAGCTGTCACAAGATGGCCTTTCTCTCAGCATTATTTTCTTCTTTTCACCTCCAGAATTTTACAACCTCCATATTGTATTGGTTGCTAGTGTGAAATCTTGCTTTGCCCCTGTGTGCTCTACACAGATGTGTCATAGGCAAGCTGGGCTTTGCAAGACAGGCCAGGATTTTTTTTTTCTGTATTTAAGCATCAACTATAACAGTATAAAAGTAAGGCTACAAACTTAAACTGATTTGGTTTGAATCTAGTTAATCGCATTTACAACTGCAATTTTGTAATCCTCTACATTAGAATTAATTGTCACACAATATATTATCTGATTCTAGTATTTTATAGGCATGAGGGATAAAAGGCATGGTACTGGTCTTAAAGGAACTCAAGCTAATGCATAAAAGACTGATTGTTCTAGACATTTGACAGAACCATTCTGTATTAGTCCATTTTCACACTGCTCTAAAGAACTACCTGAGACTGGGTAATTTATAAAGAAAAGAGGTTTACTTGACTCACAGATCCACATGGCTGGGGGAGGCCTCAGGAAACTTACAATCATGGCACAAATTGAAGGGGAAGCAAAGCACATCTTACATGATGGCAGGAGAGACAGTGCAATCAAACAGGGAACTGCCACACACTTTTAAACCATCAGATCTTATGAGAACTCACCATCTTGACAACAGCAAAGGGGATATCTGCCATCAGTGTCCAGTCACCTCCCACAAGGCCCCTCCCTTGACACATGGGGATTACAATTCGAGGTGAGATGTGGTTGGGGACACAGAGCGGAATCATATCACATTCTGTAGATGGTAGTCCTGGCCTTCCCATCTTTTTGTACTGACAGCTTTAGCAGGTCATCCAAACATTATGTAACTTACTTACCCATTTATTTCAGATTTACCCCACAGAGTTGGTGTGAAATTAAATAAGATAGCAAACCTAAAGTGCTTAGAATCCTCATTTCCGTTCCCTATCACTGATAGCCCTGTTCACAGTGAGAACTGTGGCATAGGTGACACATGGTATATTGTACATTGAGAGAGGGGTAGTCTCCGTAAATATGGCCCTCATTCTTGGTTATCTCTAATGACTTTATTTAATGTGCAGACTAACAGTGTTCAGAATTAGACAGCTAGCACATGGTGTCCCACTTCTCTCAGGAAGAATATATTTCTGAGGGCAGTTAGGAAAAAGAAGTAGAGGTACTTTTTATCCTTCATTTTTTCCACTTATTCTTTTTAATGATATGGCTTTAATGTAGAATTTTTAAAAAATAATTCTAGATTCTAATATGTCTTTCTTAAATCTTACATTTTCGTCACTGAAGAACATTTAAATGCCCATCTGCCTGAAGTCCTCAACTTTAGGAAAATGATAACTCCCAAGCATATATTCCATCTCACTTGCCTTCTAGTTCTGTGATTTTTCCCCATGTTACCTCTCTATTCCATATACCCCTGAGCAGTATAACTTTTCAGAATTCTGTGAAAATAGAGCAGCGACAGTAATGGCCACCACATACCATTTGACTGTAGCATGTGGGGAACAAGGGCTTTCTATCACAGGATCTTCCCTACAGGTCTGGATAGTATCTTCATTATGTAGAGGAAGCACTTCAGACCCAAAAAGGTTAAAATTGTGGCTAAATTTCCACAAAATATGGAAATAGTGGGCCCAGAATTAGAACTGATTCTCTTCTCACTGTTCCTCTCTTATGTGAAGACTCCAGATGGTTAGCAATTAGATTGTATTAGAATTAGAATAATATACACAATGCTATTTTATGTTTTTATGATACTGGTTTGTTCCCCTGAGAGACAGAAAAGGGTATCTGTTTATATTCCAGCCCTTCCCGTCTGTCTATAAAGAACCAGAAACAAAAAAGAAATGGTGTGATTTGTTTTGAGTTTTCCTTTTCACTGTTCTAAGCTGAGCATCACATTCCTATACACACAGTCTTTCTCCAGACATCCCAGCACTACTTCCTTGAGATTACATCAGGTGATCCAGTTGGTGTTGGGAATGACCCCATATTCTTTAGTCAAGTATTTCCATAGAGTAGTTTTCTACTGTGTTATGTGTATTTTACTTGTTTAATCCTCCCAAGACTGCTTTATTTCCATAATCGCTAAGTTCTTGTTGGAAACCGAGTATTTCACTGTTGCCTCAAGTACTTTCAGGAGGTATGGTATGAAAAAATACCTGAATCCAGTGAATAATATTTTGAGTAACTGTCTATTAACTTCTGTGCACTATCTAGTTAGCAATTTTTAGTCTTTCTTGTGGCACTGCATATGATACCTTGTATCATACCTTTACTCTTCTTACTTATCGTTTCATCAGGTAAAGCT